TGTCTCGGAGCAATCTTGTTCCAATGAATCCTCAAGCACCCATTTTATATGGGTTACCAAAAATACATAAAGAAAATGTTCCTATTCGTCCAGTTGTCTCATATATTGGTGCACCAGCTTATTTCCTTGCTAAAAAATTAAACTTCCTCCTTCGAGAGAAATCTGGATTCAACCCCACTTACAGCCTAAAAAATGGCTTAGATCTCATTTCCAAAATTAAAGATATTCGTATTCCTCCTAAATCCATATTGTTATCTTTAGACGTTGATAGTCTTTTCACAAATGTCCCATCCCCTGATTGTTTGCGTATACTCGCAGACCTCTTTGAAAAACGTCGTCTACATCCCGGGGAAACAAATGATCTTCTTAACTTAACCTCTCTCTGTATGAAACAAAACTATTTCCGGTTTAATAACCGTTTCTATCTACAAAAAGAAGGGTTAGCTATGGGGTCCCCTCTAAGTCCCCTTATGGCGGACATTTTCATGGATAATTTCGAAAAACAACATATAGTTGTCAATCAAAATATCTTATATTACTATCGATATGTAGACGACATAATTATTTGCTGGACTGGCACAAGGAGACAACTGGATGTTTTCCTCAATAAAATAAATAGAGTCCATGACAAAATTAAATTTAAACTTGAATTGGAACAAGATTGTTCCCTTAATTTTCTTGACTTAACAATAACAAGAAAAGAATCGTCACATGTTTTCCAAATTTATCGAAAACCAACTCACACCGACACAGTCATCCCCGCGTCATCATGTCATCCATGGCAACATAAAGTAGCCGCTTTTTATTGTTACATTAACCGGTTGTTCACTGTCCCATTAAGTAAAGAAAATTATTTAAAAGAACTTAATATAATTTATCAAATAGCGGTCTCTAACGGTTTTTCAAAAAATCTCATTAACAATTTAATTAAAAAGAAACAAAAGCATGTTATTCGCAACTCTCTGTACGCGGTTCAACCTCAAAGTGTTCATCGATATGTGAGCAGTTTGACCTACTTAGGCCCCATATCTGAAAAAGTAGCTAATACTCTTCGACAAAACGGCGTTTATGTGGCGTTTAAAACAAACAATTCTCTTAGAAATATCTGTAATAGTAAAGATAAGTTGGATATTCGTCAAAAGTCAGGTGTTTACAAACTTGTTTGTGACGAATGCCACGCCGTTTACGTGGGTCAAACTGGTCGCAATTTCGAGACACGTTATAAAGAGCATTTAGCCGCGTACAGGAATTGCAATCCCGATAAATCCCATTTTGCCAAACATCTTTTGGACACTGGACACAACCTAGCCAACGACCACTCCTTTAAAGTCTTACATACGTGTAATAAAGGGCTGCGGCTGTGTGTGCTGGAACAGTTAGAGATATTAAAAAGTAATAATAATACCGTTGCATTGCTGAATGAACAAACAAATGTTACTAACTCACCTCTCTTAAATATCTTCAAGCCTGCTCTCTAATAATGTGGGCGTTGCGCGGCGGTGTTTTTAATTTTACAAACGGCTGCGTAAGTCCAGCGGTGATTGGTCGCATGTTTTATCGCATGACGCAGTCGCTCGCTTCTTAGGTAGAGAGCGGTTGCGTCATCGGTTTGTATAAAAGGCAGTTGTTTTGGCTCGCCGCTCACTTAGCGGTTAGCCACCGTAGAGTCTATATCACCTGAGGATGCCTCGTGTAGAGGCGAAACACGTGTCGTATTATCGTCAGTGGTGTGTCTTGCCTAGTGTAGTGGTGTTGGGAGTAGCGGTGCTGGGATTAGTGGTGACGGGGTTAGTGCACGCAATTGAGGGAGGGCGGGAGGTGCTTTTTCATACTAGGTAAGACACATCATTTTATTTTATAACGCGGATATTTGCGAAGTAAATTTTTGTAAAAGCTTTTATATAATGGATTTCCGCAAAGTAACGCCTGATTCTATTAATTATATTAAAAAGGCTAGCACGGCCGACCAGGCAAGACTCTATGTCAAATTAACAAAACTCCATCGTATTGCTGCCCAAAATGTTTGGTTCAATCAGCAGTGCAAACAACTTCATGTTATTCCCAATTATATTCAAATACGTTCCAGCACAAATAGTCGAGCGGCCAGTATTGCTATTTCTAAAGCTCAGAACATTTGGCTTAATGAGGAGTGTCGTCGTTGGTTTTCCAATAGAGATAATTTAAAAATCCACCTTAAAGTATTATACTCTGAACTTTCATATAAATTACATAATATTGAATTTGATATTTTGGATGGAAAAGCCAGAGAACTTGCTTCAATGGCTGTTTATGAGAAATATCAAATTCAGTCCCGTAAATTACAACGACTTGTATCCTCTTCATCCCGTAATCGTAATAACGACATACATACAGAATATCACCAATTTTATCCCCGAGTTAAAAATCTTTCCGATGTCCAGTTTCCAACAGATGAGTTGACTCTTTTACATAAAGGCCTAAAGTATAATTTAACACCTTCGGTCTCCCAAAAATCGTTAGAGACTATGGCTGTTGACGCGGAGGTGGCTGTTGTGATCGGGAGGAAAGATAACATCGTTAAAAGTTTGGTAGCTAATGAAATTCGGGCTGTGCCCGCGTCTTCCCATTTCAATCCTGAGTTCCCTGTTTTTAAGTCCCTAAAGCAGAGAATAAGGGAAAACGACCTTATTGTTACTAAAGCCGATAAAGGCAATACTGTTGTTATTATGGAGAGTAGTGGGTACAGCCAGAAAGTTAACGATGTTATCCAAGGTGATGACTTTGAGCTATTGGAGTCTGACCCAACCAAAAAGTTTACTTCGGATATTAAGTTATGTATACAACAGTCATCATATGTTTTTCCCGATCACAACTTGTCTCGGAGCAATCTTGTTCCAATGAATCCTCAAGCACCCATTTTATATGGGTTACCAAAAATACATAAAGAAAATGTTCCTATTCGTCCAGTTGTCTCATATATTGGTGCACCAGCTTATTTCCTTGCTAAAAAATTAAACTTCCTCCTTCGAGAGAAATCTGGATTCAACCCCACTTACAGCCTAAAAAATGGCTTAGATCTCATTTCCAAAATTAAAGATATTCGTATTCCTCCTAAATCCATATTGTTATCTTTAGACGTTGATAGTCTTTTCACAAATGTCCCATCCCCTGATTGTTTGCGTATACTCGCAGACCTCTTTGAAAAACGTCGTCTACATCCCGGGGAAACAAATGATCTTCTTAACTTAACCTCTCTCTGTATGAAACAAAACTATTTCCGGTTTAATAACCGTTTCTATCTACAAAAAGAAGGGTTAGCTATGGGGTCCCCTCTAAGTCCCCTTATGGCGGACATTTTCATGGATAATTTCGAAAAACAACATATAGTTGTCAATCAAAATATCTTATATTACTATCGATATGTAGACGACATAATTATTTGCTGGACTGGCACAAGGAGACAACTGGATGTTTTCCTCAATAAAATAAATAGAGTCCATGACAAAATTAAATTTAAACTTGAATTGGAACAAGATTGTTCCCTTAATTTTCTTGACTTAACAATAACAAGAAAAGAATCGTCACATGTTTTCCAAATTTATCGAAAACCAACTCACACCGACACAGTCATCCCCGCGTCATCATGTCATCCATGGCAACATAAAGTAGCCGCTTTTTATTGTTACATTAACCGGTTGTTCACTGTCCCATTAAGTAAAGAAAATTATTTAAAAGAACTTAATATAATTTATCAAATAGCGGTCTCTAACGGTTTTTCAAAAAATCTCATTAACAATTTAATTAAAAAGAAACAAAAGCATGTTATTCGCAACTCTCTGTACGCGGTTCAACCTCAAAGTGTTCATCGATATGTGAGCAGTTTGACCTACTTAGGCCCCATATCTGAAAAAGTAGCTAATACTCTTCGACAAAACGGCGTTTATGTGGCGTTTAAAACAAACAATTCTCTTAGAAATATCTGTAATAGTAAAGATAAGTTGGATATTCGTCAAAAGTCAGGTGTTTACAAACTTGTTTGTGACGAATGCCACGCCGTTTACGTGGGTCAAACTGGTCGCAATTTCGAGACACGTTATAAAGAGCATTTAGCCGCGTACAGGAATTGCAATCCCGATAAATCCCATTTTGCCAAACATCTTTTGGACACTGGACACAACCTAGCCAACGACCACTCCTTTAAAGTCTTACATACGTGTAATAAAGGGCTGCGGCTGTGTGTGCTGGAACAGTTAGAGATATTAAAAAGTAATAATAATACCGTTGCATTGCTGAATGAACAAACAAATGTTACTAACTCACCTCTCTTAAATATCTTCAAGCCTGCTCTCTAATAATGTGGGCGTTGCGCGGCGGTGTTTTTAATTTTACAAACGGCTGCGTAAGTCCAGCGGTGATTGGTCGCATGTTTTATCGCATGACGCAGTCGCTCGCTTCTTAGGTAGAGAGCGGTTGCGTCATCGGTTTGTATAAAAGGCAGTTGTTTTGGCTCGCCGCTCACTTAGCGGTTAGCCACCGTAGAGTCTATATCACCTGAGGATGCCTCGTGTAGAGGCGAAACACGTGTCGTATTATCGTCAGTGGTGTGTCTTGCCTAGTGTAGTGGTGTTGGGAGTAGCGGTGCTGGGATTAGTGGTGACGGGGTTAGTGCACGCAATTGAGGGAGGGCGGGAGGTGCTTCTTCATACTAGGTAAGACACATCATTTTATTTTATAACGCGGATATTTGCGAAGTAAATTTTTGTAAAAGCTTTTAAGTAATAAAATAAATATAATAAACATATTTATAGCAATATTGTCTGTTCGTTGCTGCTGGTGATAAGAGGACTGGTTCTTTTCCCGCTCAAATGCTAAGTATAGCCATTCAGCGGGGAAACGCAGCCAGCGTTCTTGGCACGATACCGCGGGGAGTAGGACTATACGATAATTAAGTTTCTAGTTTTAGTATTTTTTTTTAATTATTATAGTTTGTAATATTATATTGTATTAACAAAAGTACATACCGGAGATTTGATAAGAATATGAAAGCACGCCAGCCACAGGCATCAAAGCAAAATATATGGTCAACATACTGCCTAAATACAACTGTAACATAAAAAAATGTGAACACTCATAAGGAGAGTTAGTATATTCGAAAACACTTAATAAAATAATGAATTCCTATATGTATGTTCTTGTATGTATATACATAAAGTACCCGTCATTTTACTTTAACTTGGAAACTTATAAAAAATTCAATAAAATTTTATTCTGTTAATCAAAACACTACAAACAGTGAATTACCCGGAAAGTAACTTTGGTAAAGTTTTAGTTTTTAATTTCTGTAGTTTAAATGTCTTTGTAAACCACCACCTCATCAAATAATTAAAAATTAAAAATTTTGTACAACCGACTTCAATATTAATTTTTAAAAAATAACTCAAAAACTATGGGTCTGACCTTAATCAAATTTATATGAGACCAGCTTTCAAATAAAAAAATCATCGAAATCAGTTCACCCACAAAAAAGTTATGACACACTACTTTTTTGTTTACTATTAAAAAAGAAACATATAGTCAAATTGAGTACCGTCTCCATTTTGAAGTCGGTAGACGAAAGAGACTTTTAAAACAAATTTACGGGTAAAAAATATACATAGTGTTTTCTCAATTTTTCTTGTTATTCTGAGCAAGGCATAATCTTATCGCTTGTTACTTTTTTAATTTTCAAGGTGACAAACAAGCACACAGTCCAAATGATGATAAGTGGATTCTATGACTCGTAGACGTAAAATATTATATTATTATTCTCGACACTCATCATGCGACTCAACACAACCGCATTATTTTACTGTTTTCCCGCTGGTATTTTGTGAGAGCGAAGTCCTACCCTGGTCAAGTCGGCCTAATCGTGCTCCAGCTATGTATAGCTTAGCTGCAGCGTGGCTCAACCAATTAAGCGTCACCTCTCCCCTATTTTTTACTAGATACAGATTTTTCAGACTCTAGATTGCCTAATAAAGGGCAATTTAAGTACACCGCTCATCACTTAAAGTCGTTTAACTAAAAATATACATATATTTAAAAAATAATCTTAAAACTTTTAATAAATAAAAGAAGAGCTATTTCGTCAATTCACTCAAGATGTAATACGATATTTAGGAATGTTTCGTAAGTTCGTTGTAATTTATGGGACGCTTTAGCGCAATTTAAAGAGGTTTAAATAGAGCCGCCTTTCAGAGCGAATTGCAGAACAAGTGACCCTTGGGTATTACAGTGTTTAATTAACGTCCCGGGTACTTGGTCCAATGGCATAGTATCCTTTAAATATTCATTTAACTAAGAACGCAGAATACTATATCCAACCATTTCGTACTTTGAAAGTAGTAAATACAGTTGTTTAATATTTGATAATAATGATTAAATGTGTGTCTCAAATAAATGCAATCAGGCGATACACAATCATTCACGACGGCGGCCGAGCGCGGACTGTGTGGTTTCATCGAAATTTTTGTACAACAAGCCAAAGCAGGCACCAAAAATAAAATAACCCTTATTGCAATATGTTATGATTCATCCGTATTAGCAAAATATGTGAAAAAATAAGCATCAGTTTTTATTTTTTTTTACGACTATTTGTGACATTTTGATAAAAAGTAAACACCATTATTTTTTATTGAACATGTCTGCCTACTTAAAGTATTTTTAGAAATCTTATATAATATGTTGATAATAGAACAAAAAATGTACCTAAACATGCGCCGGTATCGTTAATTTTGTAGAAAATGGCTAGGAAATATCGTTTTTACAATATAAGAAACTATTATTTTCAATAAAAAAGTTACCACCATTTGAAGATGAAGAACCAATCTATACGTGGTAGTTATTAGTTATATTTGATTTGGTTTAGTTTTGTTACAAAATGTACCGAAAAACAGCATAATTTTGCTCGATTTGCAAACGCGTCCTTAAAGAAGCCATAGAGCTGTGTCAGAACCGTGCCATATAGAAATACATAGTTACTGCCTACCCCTTTGCGTAAGAGTATATGTATTATATACATGCTTATATTATACACCAAATAAAAACTTGTGATAAATAATTCAATTTTAACATTTTGGCTACTATTAGCGATTAACTCTGTTATCTCTACTACTATAATTTTGCTTGCATGCATTTTTAAATTTAATATATTTTCATAACGTATCCCCCGTGTGGCCATTATATTACATAGAGTTAAGTAAAAGTAATACTTTTCTACATACAATACATCTTTCCACAAAATTTAAGCAATATAGAACTTCAAACTGAATATGATTTTAAATTTTGGACTCCCAAAATTTTTCCTATCATATATCCTGTTAAGCACGAATTATTATTTAGAATAAACATACTTTTTGGTTCTTAAATAAGAATTTACATCGATTTTTAATTGCATGGAAACTCCACTCAAACTTTGAAGCTAATTTTTGAAAATGAATGACCTAACACTCTTCAAACACTTTTGCATATTCTTTCGACATTGGGAGAGGCCTAAATCTATCCCACTGCCACTTCAGCTTACTAATCCGTTGGGCTATGTCGGTTACTCTGGTTCTACTGCGGATATCCTCATTCCTACCATAGCCGGCCATATAGCTCGAAGAACCGACAACCGATGGCGAAGAAAGGTTCTCGAGTGGCAGCCTCGTACCGGTAGGCGAAGTGTAGGGCGTCCCCCCACGAGATGGAGTGACGACCTGGTAAGACATGCAGGAAGTCGATGGATGCAGGTGGCTCAGGACCGTGCTTTGTGGCATTCTTTGGGGGAGGCCTATGTTCAGCAGTGGACTTGTGAAGGGCTGTAATGATGATGATGATGATGAAATCTATCCCTGAGTTCCCTTCATTTTGACGATCCTGTACACGGGATGAAATTGAGTAGTGGATTCTTTTACGCTTTCACTACATTGTGATAAACAGGAGATGAATAGCAGCTCTTTCCTAATAAAAACTCATTTTAATAAAAATAAAAAAACGACTGTTGCCAACCCACCTGCCAAGCGTGGCCAAAGAGAAAATCTATTGGAGAGCCTTATGGAGCCTAATAATGATTCCAAAATAAAATTACGAAAATAATTTAATTACAATATTCAAGGAAGTATTTAAACACTTTTAACAATTTAATTAATCGATAGAACATAAGAATTGTCAAAACAAAATAATATATACGTCTTTTTAATGATACATGTTAGACGACTTACCTTACATGTCAATTTGTACCAAATTGTATATATAAGAAAACTTTTATACCTTTAAATTTATTATCACGGTGGATGTATCAATTGGTGTTCATCACTTATAGGTTTAATCGTACTGGATAGGAAACCAGTTTTGTAGTGTAATTTTATTTTTATTTTACAAATTACAGTGCGTTCATGACGGTAAAAAGAGTACCATACATTTATATATTAGTAGCTGAGCTCGCGACTTTGTTCGCATGGATTCTTTTTTTTTCGGATTATTTTAAATGTAATTTGGTAATTTACTCGGTTTAGGTCTTACATTTAGTGGCGGCGTAAAAGAATTCAATGCCCCATATATCATCCCGTGGATGTCGTAAGAAGTGACAGAGGAAAATAAAAAAAAAGAGATGGCGTCTTCCTGATACCAAGTCAAAATAATAAAAAACTACTGGTAAATCTAATTGTGCATGCCCTAAGCTAATTAAAATACGTATAAAATGATTATACGTAATTTTTTTAAGTAGTTTAAAAATTTACGTATAATCGCGGTAAAGCCACAGTGCAGCTATATTAGTTGTATAGTTGTAGCAAGAATGGGTCGATCTCTCGACTGGGGATGGACTACGCTCTCACAGAATACCAGCGTAAAATAGCAGTTTAATGCTGCTGTTTTTCGTATAGTGAGTGTAGATAACCGGAGACCCTCTTTACTGGAAAATAGGCATTCCATCTTAGTTCTCAAGACTGACAACACATCTGCATTTTAATTCGCATACGAGGATAAATGTAGATGTCTATGGGCCACAGCAACCACTTACCATCAGGTGGACTGTGTGCTCGTTTGTCACCCTTATCCTATAAAAAATACTCACAAGTATTCAGTAATAACCTAATGTAAGTAAATATACTTAAATATATATATCCTACTTACTTTTAGTAAACTGTGCTTTTAAAATATCGTAATAAAATCTCTGATTTTATAATAATCAAATATCTATGAAATTTTGTTTTTCGAATATTTTGTATTTGAACAACAATCTTTTTGAACCGCTGCAAACAACCTATACACTCACTACAGCAGCTAACGCCGAAGTGAGCGAGGCAGTCTATTTAGTAAAATAAATTATTACAAGGCTGCTAATTAACACCGAAAATTTTCGAATTTCTATGCCGAAAAAAATTAATTATAACTAAACAAAAGAAAATTAATCTGTCATTTTCATTCCATGGCTTCCCACATCATAAATGAAGAGATTAAAAAATAGACTAAGTTAAACAATGGATATTTTCAAAAGTTATCGTGTTTACCACTCCATGCGGACTTGATAAATCGACAATATGAGCCACTAAAACCACTTTTTTTTTGTAAAAATAGCAATTAATCGATTTAAAAAAATATTAATGATGCCATATTAATAGAACTCTACCCAGGCAATGCCGGGGCGGGTCGCTAGTATACTTATAAAAGTTGATAGTCCTTGATCTACCACTATTGTAAAGGTTGGGGAAAATATTTAATGTAACTGAATCTTAAGTAAAAAAATTCTCTTCTTGCGATAGTTTTCTTGCGATAGTTAGATATGTTAATGAAAACTATCCCATATATCTTTCTATATATAATAGAATTTAAGTATCTGTCTGTAATATCGAAATAACTGCCTTGTCTTATTTGCATATTTTATTTGCCAGCTAACTGACATGAATAACCATTTTTTAAATGTTACGAGTATTGTGAGTGTATCATTGTCCGGGATTATCTTCGAAATTACTGAACCGATTATGGTGAAACTTAACAAATAGATAGAGAGCAATGCCGTGAGCCAGGAGTGATCTAGGAAAAGGGTGCCCAAAGTTTTTTAATTCACGTTGCCCTTAGGTAGGAGGTATAGTGTCTTTTCACGGCTCCCTTATCAAAATATGTGTGAAATAATACGTGAATAGATATCACACTATGTGTCATTCTTGTATCCTTTCTGATCTCCACAAGTTTTATCAAAATGCGTGATATATACTTTGTTGACGTGTTATAACTTTTGAGTGATATTTGCTCTTTATTATATCAATCGACGGATTCAACTCGACTGGACAGCTTTCGGCAAATTGCGGCACATCTCGTCAGGTATACCTCAAAACCTGAAAACGAAGTTGTATAACCAGTGGGTATTACCAGTGATGACTTATGGATCTGAGACGTAGTCTTTCACAGCTGGCCGGATGAGAAAGCACAAGATCTCTGAGCGAACTATGGAGAGGGCTATGCTAGTTTCTCTGCGTGATAAACATAGATATGAGGATATCCGCAGTAGAACCAGAGTGACTGACATAACCCAACGGATTAGTAAACTAAAGTGGCAATGGTCTGGCCAAATAGCTTGGAGAACCGACAACCGACGGGGAAAAAAGTTTCTAGAGTGGCGGCCTCGTACCGGCGGACGAAGTGTAGGACGTCGCCCCACTAGATGGAGTGACGACCTGGTAAGACATGCAGGAAGTCGATGGATGCAGCTGGCTCAGGACCGTGCATTGGGGCAGTGCTTGGGGGAAGCTTATGTTCAGCAGTGAACATGTGAAGGGCTGTAATGATGATAATGATGATTTATTTTGTTATTTTTAAGCCTTATAGTTTATTAAAATAAATATAAAACTGTCTTCCATCTTCCTTTATCTACATACATCTACTCTATAAAAATGACAGAAAAATAAATATCATTGCTTTGGCGCGTTTTTATGATCTCTCTCGCGTTCCTTAGAATGTAACGTAACGGTAACGTAACGGTTACGTAATTCATTTCGTATGCCTGTCTTAAATTGAATATAGTTCCCTGTGATCTTTATATCAAGTTGTAGGAATATAAAATGGTACGTAAACTAACAGTTGTAATATGTGTAAGCGTATATAATATGTGGGTAGGTACTACATTTTAAAAGTTAATGATTGTGATGATTTCTATCATTAACTAGCGAACCGTCTCGCTTCGCCTGGTAGAATATATTAATGTGGCACTGCTCTATTTGGATAATTTTTTGATTTCTTAAAAAAAAAAACACCAAGTATTTAGGATAAAATATAACCTTGATCACTCCTGGTATTGCTCTACTAATCGTAAAGCTTCATTACAACCGGTTCAGCCATTTCAATGATTAGCCCGTACATGCGGACAGACAGACAGGCAAAATTAAAAAGAAATGGTTTTTCATATAATAATAGCATGCAAATTACCCCTTGAGCACAATGAAATGCAACGATATCGATATTGCATACAGAAACTTCAATTTTA